CTAGGTTGATGAAATTTCATATATAAGTATTTTATCAAAATCGTAGATCCGTATCAACTTTTGAGCGATTTCCGATAACCGGAAGTGGTACTTTTACTACTATGAATTGTTCAAAAGCCTTTAACTTGAGTTCTATTTCAGATAGATAAATGTAATTTGATATGTCAGTAAAAGATCTAATTCTCTACCTTCTGTCAAATTTTGAGTAATTTCCGTTGAGCGGAAGTACTTATTTACGCTATTTCCGATTTCTCAAAAAACGCATGTAAATTTATAAAGTACTAATAATATTGCGCACTATTATGCACATCTTTATTTAGCGTTCACTTGGTGTGCATTTCTTTTTTCTACGAGATTATATTCTATTTTTAAAAATGTGAGTATTTAAAATGGATTAAAAATCATGTCTAGAAGTCTATATCCCGAGTTGCCATCCCCCGTAGTGTTATATTAGAATATTCGAGAAAGTTTAGGGGAGATCACTCCCGGTTTATTTTTTTACGTTTTAATGAGATTGAACATGTCTACATAAAAAATCTGAATGCATTTTCGTTGTAATATTCACTAAATACGTTTATTTATCTTACAACTTACTTTAGTTAATTTAGCGTATTTTATTTATTTTGGTCTGCTCCTTTTCACTACATGAGTAACTAAGGTCAAACTTGGGTGTATTTTAATCACGCCTTTTATTTTGTAGGGTCTACAGTACAAATCATGTTGAACCTTGTATTTTTTGTCTCTGAAATAGTGATTTAGCTGAATCTTCGCATGTCTACTTAATAATTATATTTAATGCGTAACCGTGATAATAGTCTCATATTTTAAACTTTGTTTAGTTTAACAACCATACTTGCTAATACATTTAACAAATAAAATCATTTAAAATATTGAATGTGTACAGAATTTTGTATACTAAAAAGTTTTTAAGTTTTAATTGAAAAATGTTGTGTTATTCCAATTGAAAGTTTAGCGTGTGAGTTGTTTTGCTTTTTTCGCCCACACAGCATCAACGGCGTGGTCTAGCGGTAGATACATAGACTATGTAGAATGTTTGGAGTTCAATTCAATAACACGTTCATGAGTTCACCCAGCTCTGATGGGTTCATAACTCACATTAGGAAAAGGTAGGGCGGCTGAGCATAGTGCTGACCACACTACCCTTTCATATGCCGAGTCACAGAAACAGGTTAACTCTACTTCACCTGCCCCATTGTCTGGAGTTCAAACTGGGTTCAGGTCAGCAAGCTCTGATGAGTATCTCACTCACGTTAGGGAAAGTAAATGCGGCTGACCACACTCATATGCAGAGGTCACAGAAACACGTTAACTCTACTTCACTTTCCCTATGGACCGTCAGGTTCCAAAAGTGAACACAGACATACGCCTTGTCAGACTTTCTTGTAGGTAGTTGGACTGTGGCTTTCTGTTGTTTGCCGTTACTCATCAATGCTTCCATTCTGTTAGTGCATGGCTGTACCGCATGTATCACTTCTAACTTGTGGGTAAAGGGGGTTTTGTTCTCACCGCCTACACAACCTTAAGTTTATCGGGTGGGTTGTCTTGTGAAGGCAAAAGGCGGGAGTTGACAGTCTATTTATCACCACTTTTACAGTTCAACTAAAAGAGTTAGAGTCGATTCCTTTGTATCATTCACCTTTTTCATGTGTTTGGTCAATATAATTTGACACAGGCTTTATGAATCAGTAAAGATCTCCTGTTAGGTTTACTAAATGATCCGTTTTCAAACAATAATATGACATACAAAACTATACAAGATACTTAATAAAAATAATTTAGTTTTATAATAACAAGTTTATTTTAAAAGATAAATAAAACAAAATACAATAACCAGATATTTAACAATCCCCAGCAAACAGGTCAACTCTTCTGCCAAACTCCGCAACCAACTGTCGTACACATACACACGACACAGCACACGTCAACTATCAGTCTCCACGTGAACACCTATCATTCCATAACACAACACAGTCAAGGGCTACAACTATGTACACATTAGCAGTACCGGTCTTTGGATAACACAATCAGGGGAGGCTACAAGTGAGGGACCCAACTTCCCTCCCCTTCACATCACTTCTTGTAAGAAATCCACTGTTTACAATTTAATTTGCCGCAACCAAACGGATGTTCCAACTCTCGACGAGTTCTAGAAATACAATCAGTCGCATTCGGGCAAGTAATATTCGGGCGTATGTCGTATTTGCGCATGCGTCCATTCGAGTGTTCGTCGCATATGGTCAAGTGTCCATTCGGGCGTTTGTCGCGTTCGGGCAAGCGTACATTCGAAAAATTGTTTTTTTGGGCTTTTTTTTTTTAAATGCGTTCATCCATATTTGTGGAAAAGGCGATCTAATGAATTAACAAGTTAAGAAAGTTTAAACTTGGGTCTATTTAATTGATCTGTGTTATATGGGTCTGTAAGTCTTAGTAATATGAGTTTTTTATGCGTATGTGTATTAATTGGATCTTTTTCTGTGTAACATGCTCTGTATATAAGTCCCTGTTACATTTATGTAACAAGATTTTAAATATATGAGTTAATTTAGTTTTGGTCTGTACTATGCCTTTACGATACTGTACTACATTGGAAATTGTTTGTTTTTTCTGTTTCTAAAGTGTTTTTTAATGGACACATTCAATGTTTGATATTAAAATTTACGACGGACTGTAAAGGAATTTAAAGTAACTTTACTAGAGTGTAGGCAAAATATAATTGAATAAATGTGTGTTATTACACACATTTGAAAACTTTTGTAATGGAGATGTATACATAGACAAGGGACGCAATACTGTTCACTCAAGAAAATGATTGGATGTAAAAAAAAATGTAAAAAAAATGTTTAATCATTACAATATATTCTATAGTCTACAGAAAAGATAATTTAATTTCGTTGTAATATTCACTAAACACTTGTATTTAGCTTAAAGCCTATTTTAGGTAATTTAGCGTATTTTATTTATTTTGGTCTGCTCCTTTCCACACTACATGAGTAACTAAGGTCAAACTTGGGTGTATTTTAATCAGGCCTTTTATAATGCAGGGTCTACAGTACAAATCACGTTGTACATTGGTTTTTCTTTACCCAAAATATTGATTTAGCTGAATCTTCACATGTCTACTTAATAACTATATTTCATACTAATACATTTTACAAATAAAATAATTTAAAATGTTAACAGAATTGCAATTATGCTCGTTTTGTATACTAAACGGTTTTTTTAAGTTTTAATCGAAAAACTTTGTGTTATGTCATTTGAATGTTTAGCTTGTGAGTTGTTTTTCTTATTTACCCTCACGCTACATCAACAGCGTGGTCTAGCGATAAATACCTAGACTGCTAACTCAACTGTTTGGAGTTCAAGTCGGTAGAACGTTCATGATTTCACCCAGCACTAATGAGTACCTAACTCGAGTTAGGGAAAGTAAAGGCGGCTGACCACACTATCCACTCATATGCCGAGGTGACAGAAACACGTTAACTCTACTTCACTTTCCCTATGGACCGTCAGGTTCCAAAAGTGAACACAGACCTACGCTTTGTCGGACTTACTTGTAGGTAGTTGGACTGTGGTTTTCTGTTGTTTATCGTTACTCATCAATGCTTCCATTCTGTTAGTGAATGACAGTACCGCCTGTATCACTTCTAACTTGTGGGTAAAGGGGGTTTTGTGCTCACCGCCTACACAACTTTTAGTTTATCGGGTGGGTTGTCTTGTGAAGGCAAAATGTGGGAGTTGACAGTCTATTTATCCCCTCTTACAGAATTCAATTGCTTTATTCGATTCCTTTGTACCATTCACCCTTTTATATGTTTGGTCAATATAATATGACACCGGTTTTATTAATCAGTAAAGATTTCCTGTTAGGTTTACCAACTGCCTCCGTTTTTCAAGCAACATTATACTCTTTTTCTCCTGATGACCAGAGGCAGCCATTTTCTAATGCCCTTGTAACCTTTTTTTGTCAGTGTGGACCGTACCAAACTTTATTCCGATTCTCTCATATGGAGATTTTCGTATGTATCTCGAGATCTTATGGTTGCTTTAATTTCACCATAGTAATAGTGACCTTTTATCTACAAAATAGGCACCCCGGCCGTGACAGAGAAGTGTGAAAAAAAACTCTCTTTTATTCACGAAACATGTGATATGAAGCCTACAACTAATTAATGTACAACATGAAGCCGTAAAAAAGTATTACACAATTCATGACACAATTGTTAATAGAGAAATAAAAACATTTTCTCAAGGAAATATAAACTATAAAATAATACAGGATTTTTTGAAAGCAAGAGTTGTTTTTCTGTAATACAGTTTCATTAGATACCGTGTTCTAATTTTGATTTGTGATGTTTATTTGTGTTTCAGCTTATGTTATGTAAGAGTTAAAAAAAAAAAAAACTTGTACACTATTTGTAGTTGCCTACAACAATAGGTTGTTTATAATGAAATGGGAGACGTCTTATTATTTAAATACATCCTAAAGTTTACCTGGCATGCACATGAAAATAGTGATGGATACGATGATTGTACTGTGGATCTAAGTTGGGCACAATGATTAACATTAACTGCACTTATAACCGTTGTATACGCTACTAAACCATGTCAAACACATTATTCATTACAAATTAAAATTAAGTTGCAATTTTCACATTTCCAGTTTAAACATTTAATTAAATGTTAAAAATAAGATAGTAAAACACTGTGTAAAGAAAAATAAATTCATTTCCAACTTTTAAATGTATGTTTAATAGAATACTTTGAAAACTATAACATATTTTTTTTTAAATATTTAAGTATGAAATTTATAATACGAATAATATTTGTAAAGAAGAGTTCAAATTGAAATTAGTGTTGTAACGCATTTAAAAAAAATTAAAACAAAACTCAATGAAAGCGTATGATAAAAAACATGCGATGCAGAATATGTAACAGTAGAGTCTATGACTTCCAATGTTGATACTCAGGGCATACACACATCAGACAGTTGAGCTGTACTCTGCTCGATGCCTCTCTGTAGAGATCACTGCTTCAGTGTAGAGTTTCATTGTCTCGTACACAAGTATATACTGTTGCTGTAGGTAAACAAAGAACATATATATCATAGGCTTTTTTGTATGTGTTGCATAAATTAGAAAAAAAAATCGAAAACATTTGCAAAGTGTAGATTGGCACACAATGTACTCAAGTACTTGGACAACGTAAGATAAGGAAAATAATTGGTTAGACTTACAAGTGTAGGAATGGCGTGCGGTCTGATGGATTTGACTTTACCAACAACAACAGGAACGGTCAAATAGTTCTCTTGGTCAAGTCTGTCCATCAGAGTTGTCACAACATAGGCCAGTCCACTCAGTTCGGCGCCGTTTCTTGGAAAAAACAATTATAAACACAAACCTGAGGTTAAAGTTCAAAGGTCTGAGTTAAGTTTGTTTACTTCAGATGGTCATCTATAAATAATACTGCAGTTCTCCAGTTATATCTGCAAATATCTAATTATCTACAGTAGTTAAAAATAGTATGGTTAAGTAAGTTTTGCACTTTACTTAATTTCTATTTGACTCGTAGATGAAAACTTTTACTTTGGTGTGGTTGTAAAAAGAATGGGGATGGACGGGGGGGGGGGGACTACATCATGTATCACGCATCCTAGCTATAACACTAAGTAGGCATAAGTTCTACGATCCATATGGAAAAGGAAGTATATTTCATAACTTTTTTTACACTGGGATATGAATGTGGGGATAAACTATCCCCGTCCGCCTTTACTTTCCCCAACGCCGATCATGTACCCATCAAGCCTGGATAGAGTCAGGAATGTCCGGAAACACCAGTCATGTACCCATCAAGCCTGGATAGAGTCAGGAATGTCCGGAAACACCAGTCATGTACCCATCAAGCCTGGATAGAGTCAGGAATGTCCGGAAACACCAGTCATGTACCCATCAAGCCTGGATAGAGTCAGGAATGTCCGGAAACACCAGTCATGTACCCATCAAGCCTGGATAGAGTCAGGAATGTCAGGAAACACCAGTCATGTACCCATCAAGCCTGGATAGAGTCAGGAATGTCCGGAAACACCAGGCATGTACCCATCAAGCCTGGATAGAGTCAGGAATGTCTGGAAACACCAGTCATGTACCCATCAAGCCTGGATAGAGTCAGGAATGTCCGGACCGATCGCTCTACCACACCACCACGACGTCTCAGTTAAAGATCTATCGGTCTATATACTGCGTTGGTGACTTTAATGGAACTGTGTATGTCGGGGGGTTAAAGGTGACGATGCTATCTATAGATTTAGTCTAGCTAGTGGTGGATGGGCGTAAGTTAAAGCTTATATTCAATACCAAAGACAACACACAATTCAAACATGCATGCATGTACAATTACGCATATGGTTGCTATAAATAAATAAAACGCATAACCAACACACTTGCCTGCACGTGTAAACTACTGACTTATCCTGAGTTCTCAACGTGCGCGCGTATTGAACAAACGGCAGGAGATTTTTGGGTTCGATATGACGCTCTGTAAACGTGAGATGAGTCACTTCTTGCGTTTGTTTCCCCTAAGAGAAAGGAACAGAAATGTTTTTTTTTTTACAAGCTTTTATTTAACTCACTTCCTCGTCAGTCTGTCGTCAGTCGTCAGTCTAGACGGAAACGCAGGAGTGAAAATTCGGACAGTTCTACTTGACCGACACGATTCACAGTTGGCACGTGGGTCAAGACATGAAGACAATGCAATCTGAAACTAAATTTGACTTAATTGGGTGCCTAATTGATTTTTTATGAATTAATTAAAATTTGGACCGAATTAGTAGGCATGTCTAGCCAACCACACCACACGCGTCATCAATAGCTGTGCCATCACGACCTCGTAATGGCTGCGTTCAAAAACCATTGCGCGCCTACTGAACGTGATATTCAGTAGGCGCGCAATGGTTTTTAGTCATGTAACTCTATTGTAGATAAAACATGTAAAGTAAAAAATTCATAAAAAACGTTTTAATAACAAGCTTTTATGTTATGATGCACTAAAAAGTAGAAAATAAATTATAGACTACTATTTAAATAACTATAAAGAAAAGCGTGGGTGTCTTCCTTAACATTAGTAAAGGTATCCAATAGATACTAAAGTGACCCACGCTTTTCTTTATAGTTATTTAAATAGTAGTCTATAATTTATTTTCTACTTTTTAGTGCATCATTACATAAAAGCTTGTTATTAAAACGTTTTTTATGAATTTTTTTTTTAAATTAAGTTCGAGCTACAGTGTCCTTTCTTACATTGTAAAAAATATTGGTGAAAAATGAAAAATTCAAAGCAGCATATTAATACTAGTAAACTTAAAAATCCCGAAACACAAACATAAACACTATGTAGACATTTTAATATACACCAACATTTATATTTTATATAAACAAACTTCTATGCATATATATATATATCTGTATATGAATATATATGTATATGCATGTTTTAATAGTTACATATATATATATATATATATATATATATATATATATATATATATATATATTTATATTTATATTTATATTTATATTTATATTTATATTTATATATATATATATATATATATATATATATATATATATATATATATATATATGTATTTTTGTGTAACATCTTAATTGCATATTTCGCGTTTATATGATGAAAAGCGTACGCTATATAGTTCTCAAACAAAGTGTAAGATGTCAGCAGTGTATTGTGCAACATTACCTTAACGGTAAGCTTCGTTTCTGTCCATGTTGGTGCTGTTGTTACTGACTCGACATTGACAGCTATGTTCCCACATTGTAACGGCTGGCCTTGTTCTTCGGGTAAGTAGATAGCTAAGGACTGGAGAAAAAAAAACATGTTTTTTTGTTAACTTTATTTCAACATTTACACGTTGAAGGTTGGGGTGCTTTAGATTTTGGTATAACAAACTGTATATTAGGCCGCCAAGAAACCACTCGCTGCAGAAGTGACAACATCAGATTTTTCCAGTCCACCTCATCAAGTCAACATTCCGTCTCGGCTTCTTCAGTTACTTGTAAGCCTTTCACCATATTTTATGTTTGGTTGGCTTGAGTCGGGTACCTATATACAGCTCGATATATTTTTAAACATCTGAACCAAGCTCTTACCCCTGGTCACAAGCCGAATTCGACACAGAACGCTTCTATTATTATCTTCTATTATTAGCTTCTATTATTAGCTTCTATTTTTAGCTTCTATTAATAGCTTCTATTTTTAGCTTCTATCATTAGCTTCTATTATTAGTTTCTAATATTAGCTTCTATTATTTGCTTCTATTATTAACTTCTATTAATAGCTTCTATTATTAACTTTTATTACTAGCTTCTATTATTGGCTTCTATTATTTGCTTCTATTATTAGCTTCTATTAATAGCTTCTATTATTAATGTTTAACCTGGCATAAAACACTACACTACAGCACTCAATTAGGATAGAGGTTAAATGGTAGAGCTGTTAACTGATAACTCGAGCCTCGAGTTCGGATCCCTGGTTTGAGTCCACTCAGCTTTTAATGGGTACCTGACTCACGTTAAGGAATCTAAAGGCGGTTCGGCATAGTAATAACCACATTATCGCTTTATACTGCAACTGGTCTACTCTAATTCTCTTGTTCCATGGACCGTAGGATTTTAAAAAATTTACGTTTACTGCAACACACACACACATACACACACACATACACCTACCTTGTCCTTTTCATAGGATTTAAAAGCAACAATCAAGGAGACTTTATACTGTGTGACCAGTCTCCAGAAATCATTGACCGTAGTGGGCATGGGCAGCTGGGTCAGAAACTGTTTGGTCTGGGTGTACAGGCTCTGGTTTTAGATGGGATACAAATCAATAATAGCCGAATAATCAAGTATAAATTATTGTTAGCTCAATAATCAAGAACAAATCATTAATAGCCCAATAATCAAGTACAAGTCAATCTTGTCACAACCATAAATACTTTTCCGATTGCATAATTTATAATGTGTTTCTACAATTGTATATTGCTAAATTTTTATTTTCTTTCATTAAATAAAAATTAGTTTGTACATTTATAACATCCACTATATTATTTTCAACAAAAGTCCGTATCGTTAAGTGCTCGATATATCGCTGAACATACTGATTATATAGCCTCAAAAATATTGCGAACAGAGAGAGAGAGAGAGAGAGAAGTGCGCAATGGGCTTTTAGATATAAGGATTGTATAAATTAAAAACAATTAAAAACTAAGCGAAAAAACAGTCTTACAGGTAATGTGACAGCATTGATATAGCCCTCTTCTCCGGGGGAATCCACTTGTAAAAGAGGTTGATACTTTTTGTCTAAACAATACATAGATTAGTTAATTGATCAGAAATAATTTATAGTATAAGCCGCTTGTGTCATTTCGCTACTTCCGTTCGTCAGTCAACAGTATAGCTACTTTTTCTTCGTTTCTCAAGCTTCATTTCAACTCACGACAGTAAGAACATAATTAATGGAATACACGGCCGTTTGTTTGATTAAGCAATTTAATAACGCGTTTGCGGTTATATTTTATTTTGTGTTTGCATTTTTGTTTGCGTTTGCGTTTGCGTGTTGCGTTTGCATTAGCGTTTGTGTTTGCGTTTAAGTGATGCGTTTGCCATAGCGTTTGCGTTTTGTTTTGTGTTTATGCTTGTGTTTATATTTGCGTTTTCGTTTGTGTTTGCGTGTGTGTATGTGTGTGTATGTGTATGTGTATGTGTATGTGTATGTGTATGTGTATGTATATCTGTATGTGTATGTGTATGTGTATGTGTATGTGTATGTGTATGTGTATGTGTATGTGTATGTGTATGTGTATGTGTATGTGTATGTGTATGTGTATGTGTATGTGTATGTGTATGTGTATGTGTTGTTGTATGTGTATGTGTATGTGTATGTGTATGTGTATGTGTATGTGTATGTGTATGTGTATGTGTATGTGTATGTGTATGTGTATGTGTATGTGTATGTGTATGTGTATGTGTATGTGTATGTGTATGTGTATGTGTATGTGTATGTGTATGTGTATGTGTATGTGTATGTGTATGTGTATGTGTATGTGTATGTGTATGTGTATGTGTATGTGTATGTGTATGTGTATGTGTATGTGTATGTGTATGTGTATGTGTATGTGTATGTGTATGTGTATGTGTATGTGTATGTGTATGTGTATGTGTATGTGTATGTGTATGTGTATGTGTATGTGTATGTGTATGTGTATGTGTATGTGTATGTGTATGTGTATGTGTATGTGTATGTGTATGTGTATGTGTATGTGTATGTGTATGTGTATGTGTATGTGTATGTGTATGTGTATGTGTATGTGTATGTGTATGTGTATGTGTATGTGTATGTGTATGTGTATGTGTATGTGTATGTGTATGTGTATGTGTATGTGTATGTGTATGTGTATGTGTATGTGTATGTGTATGTGTATGTGTATGTGTATGTGTATGTGTATGTGTATGTGTATGTGTATGTGTATGTGTATGTGTATGTGTATGTGTATGTGTACGTGCACGTGTACGTGTACGTGCACGTGTACGTGTACGTGTACGTGTACGTGTACGTGTACGTGTACGTGTACGTGTACGTGTACGTGTACGTGTACGTGTACGTGTACGTGTACGTGTACGTGTACGTGTACGTGTACGTGTACGTGTACGTGTACGTGTACGTGTACGTGTACGTGTACGTGCATGTGCATGTGCACGTGCATGTGCATGTGCATGTGCATGTGCTTGTGATTGTGCATTTGCACGCGCGTGTGCGTGTGCTTGTGCTTGTGCATGTGCTTGTGATTGTGCATTTGCACGCGCGTGTGCGTGTGCTTGTGCTTGTGCTTGTGCATTTGCATTTGCATTTGCATTTGCATTTGCATTTGCATTTGCATTTGCATTTGCATTTGCATTTGCATTTACATTTGCATTTGCATTTGAATTTGAATTTGAATTTGAATTTGAATTTGAATTTGAATTTGAATTTGCATTTGCATTTGCATTTGCATTTGCATTTGCATTTGCATTTGCATTTGCATTTGCATTTGCATTTGCATTTGCATTTGCATTTGCATTTGCATTTGCATTTGCATTTGCATTTGTCTTTGTTTTTTTGTTACGATTGTGTTTGCGTTTTTGCTTGCGTTTGCGCTTGTGTTTGCGATTGCGTTTACGTCGAATCTATACTTACACTGACCAAGTAGAATGTCGATTCTATATTTTTATTTATTAGGTAGAATGTCGATTCTATATTTACACTTACTAGGTAGAATGTCGATTCTTTATTTACATTTACCATGTAGAATATCGATTCTAAAATTTACTCTTACCAAGTAGAATGGTGTTTCTATATTTACACTTACTATGTAGAATGTTTAATCTGTCGTTACGCTGAGTGATAGAATGGTGTGCCTATTTTTACACTTAACTAGTAGAATGTTGAATCTGTCTTTACACTTAGTAGTAAAATATAAAATCTATTTTCACACTTACTATAGTTAATGTCGTTGCACACTTACCTGGTGCAATGTCGAATGTTGTGTTACACCTCTTACATACTTAGATTCTAGATTGGTGAATCCATCTTACTCATGTTCCACACTTACCTGATAGAATTTCTGAATCTATCTTTACTGTTGGTATACACTTACCTGGTATAATGAGGAATCTATTTTTACTATTGGTATTCACTTACCTGGTATAATGAAGAATCTATTTTTACTTTTTGGATCTTGGGTAACGTCCCCTACACCACCAGTAAGTTGTGTCTCAAAACTAAACAGGTTCTGAAATAATGGGTATTGAACACCAATTTAATAGTGATTTACTTGAATAAAAATCATGTTGTAAAAGCACATGTTTAACAGTAGGTAATGTGTAACTAATTCTTATTAAGGTTAGGTTGGCTGACCCAAGCACATTACCCCGAGGCTAATGAGACTGCAACCAATGTAGATGAGGAAATGGAGTCTATTAAGTGATATGACTACAAAATATGCTTTTTTTACTTATGTTTCGGCAACCTAATCTGGTACAAAAGATAATGCATAGTATTCCTTTGAGATATTCCGGCACACTATACTGGTTGTATCTGATAGTCGGAATCATAATTTATTAAACATATTATATAGTTGTAAGGAACCATACCCCCGCATAATAAGAGCTGCCGAGTGTTGGCAATCGAAAAAAATATTATTCATTGAGCATTGATGTTTTCATCAAAATATTTTTATTTACAATCAGAATACGAAGAAACAAAGCCACTGAATACAAACTTACATTGAATTCATTTTCAAAATTATTTTTCCCGTCGACGAGGTTCCTCATGAGATGTAGTTTGAGACAGATGGCGCTGATGTGTGTGTAGCTGCCTGTACAGGCGACGCTAGCCTGCGCGGCGTGGTGCAGGAACATGTACTGCTCCTGGAAAACAAATGCAAGTAGCTAGTCTCTCTCTCTCTCTCTCTCTCTCACTCTTTCTCTCTGAGGCCTGGTCAAGAAGCATGTTCTTCTCCTGGAAGACACATGTTTCGTTAAGTAACAAGTCTCCCTCTCTCCCTCTCTCTGTCCCTCTCTCTCTCATTCTATCTCTCTCTTCCTCCATCTCCATCTCTCTCTCTCTCTCTCCTTCTCTCTCTCTCTCTCTTCCACTCTCTCCTAGTTTGCCCCACTTAGTTTTGGTGTCACATATCTTCTAGTGTGTACTTATATTACCAACACTTCCTCTATGCAGCGAATACAACAATATCGATGACAGTGATAACACAGTACAAAACGTCTGTTAGAAATTATCCAGTGATCTAAACAATTGTCCTAGTATTATTCTTAATAACAATTCAATTTTTACTGGGTTTTTTTTTTTATTTTACTAAACAGTTGTACACTTCCTCCAAACTAAAAAAGAGTTGTGAAACAATGACAAATTGTTTGGTGATAATTAGAATGCTTGTTTTTTTAACGTTGTATAAATAAACCTAATGCATTTGTAATGTTTGATTCCAATTGAAAAAAAATTAACTGTAGAGCGTTTCAGAAAGGAGTTGTGTTATTAACTAGATCCGTTGTATGTTTTTCTTTTTTATTTAAATCCGTTAATCCGGCTACTCATATCTCACTTTTTCTCGTATATACACATGTTTTTTTTAGCTCACTCGATGACTCTATTCTAAAACATCTCATGTGTGAGTTATTTTGAAACCAAAATATCAATTCCTTTTTTCTTTTTATCAATTACAATATTAGTGTAGTTTAATATTGATTTAGAATTAGTTAGAATCTAATATCAAGTTAAAAATTTGCTATACAATAATCTAAATCTGATGCTTTATTTAGCGAATAAATTTGCTACGTTTTTGTTTTAAACATTTTATGCAAGAAATAATTTTACATCTTTTGATGAAGGAAAAAATCTTGACAATTTGTTAAAATATTTCATTTAATGTTCGTTATTTTATTTTATTTTTTTATACTAAAGAGCTAGTGAGAAAACATTGCAAGTGCAATAAACCGGGAGTGATCTCCCCTAAAATTTCTCGAATATTTTATATAAAATAACAGGGGATGGGAACTCGGGCTATAGACATGATTTTTAATCCATTTTAAATACTTAAAGTTTTAAAAATAGAAAAAAATCTCGTAGACAAAAGAATTGCACGCCAAATAAAAAAGTGCATAATAGTGCGCAATATTATTAGTATTTTAAAAATTTACATTAGTTTTTTTAGAAATCGGAAGTAGCGTAAATTACTACTTCCTGTCAACGGAAATGACTCAAAATTTAACAGAAGGTAGAAAACTAGATTTTTAACTTACATGTGAAATTTCGTTTATCTATCTCAAATAGTACGTAAGTTATAGGCTTTTGAAAATTTCAAAGTAGAAAAAGTACCACTTCCGGTTATCGGAAATCGCTCAAAAGTTGATACGGATCTACGATTTTCATAGAATACTTATATATGAAATTTCATCAACCTAGCTGTTGCGGTACTCAAGTTATCGTGTTTACACATACACACAGACAGACACACAGACACACAGACATACGGACAAGATTGCAAAATTATGTTTTTCCGTATCAGTGAGATGTAAAACGTCAAGATTTGTAAAAATCTCGATTTTTATTTTGCACGATTACAAGACTTTCTCTATAGCATACTTCTAATATACGAGAAAGTAAAAATGTCATTTCTTGTAACATGTTAATAAATAAACCGGGAGTGATCTCCCCTAAACTTTCTCGAATCTAATAAAGAAAGCTGAATCCAGTATATTTGTTTGTAAAAATAAGTTTGTCGTTGACATACTTTTATGGATTTAAGTGTTAGACTATTATCGATTTCATGGTCTAAATTTAACAGTTAAAAAATTACTATTGAAAGTGTTGGGAAATAATTTTAATTTTTCAAACTGATAGTAATAATTGTCGGCATGTTCATTAAACACAATTTAAAAAAAATAACAAAAATTCTAATTATGTCTGAAAATTATTTATATTTAGTCCTTTAGCACTTACTTCCCTTTGATAAATTAGGAAAACACAATTACTTCCCTTTATAAAACATTCCATTAGTGGAAAAGAATTTACTTTTTATTACTTTGTTTTGGTGTTGGGAAAAAAATAATTACATAATTAGCGGGGATAGATCAAGTGCAAATGTTGTAGGTATTTTACGAATAAGCTTGTAGTATTATAATTGTTCATTTGCTTTGGTTTGGCATCTACGTTCGTTTAAGTGAGTGCAAAAGACTATGAATAAGTTGGGGTACTATAGTCGATTATTAAGCTGAAACAGGCGATTCTGCCCCGGCTAGACTGTGAGCACTTTGCGTTTATGTTCGCGTTAGTGTTTTCTTTGTGTTTAGGTTGGTTTTGCGTTAGTGGTTGCGTTTTGATTTGTTTCGTTTTTGTTCTTTCCTTTTTCGTTTTCGTTTGTGTTTTTTTCTTTGGGTTTGTGTTTGTATTTGTGTTTGTGGTTGGTTTTGCGTTTGGATTTGGTTTGTTTTCGTTTGCTTTTTCGTTTGTGTTTTTTTCTTTGTGTTCGTATTGGTGTTTGTGGCTGTGGTTGGGTTTGTTGTTAGGTTTTTGTTTTCGTCTGCTTTTTTGTTTGTTTTTTCTTTGTGTTTGTATTGGTGTTTGTGATTGTGGTTGGGTTTGTTGTTAGGTTTTTGTTTTTGTTTGTATTTGTAATTGTGTTAGCGTTATGTTTGCGTTTTGTTGTTTTGGTTGGTTGTGGTTTGGGTGGGCAATGCCGTGTTTATGATGATAACTAAACACACAGGTAATGGTCTTTAACAGAAAGGTTTTTCACAGAAGCCAGAGCAGGGCCTGGCCGGGACGGCTAGTATTCTTATATAACTTGGAATATAGACATGATTTTTAATTACTTAAACTTTTAAAAATAGAAAATAATCTCATAGAAAAAAAAAATTGCGCACCAAGGGAACGCCAAACGAAATGTGCATAATAGTGCGCAATATTATTAGTACTTTATAAATTTACATGCATTTTTTGAGAAATCGGAAATTGCGTAAATTAGTACTTCCGGTCAACGGAAATTACTCAATATTTGACAGAAGGTAGAGAATTAGATCTTTTACTTACACGTGAAATTTCATTTATCTATCTGAAATAGTACTCAAGTTATAGGCTTTTGAAAAATTCAAAGTAGAAAAAGTACCACTTCAGGTTATCAGAAATCGCTCAAAAGTTGATACGAATCTACGATTTTGATAAAATACTTATATATAAAATTTCATTAACCTAGCAGTAACGGTACTCAAGTTATCGTGTTTACACACAGACAGACAGACAGACAGACAGACAGACAGACAGACAGACACACAGACATACGGACAAGATTGCAAAATTATGTTTTTCCATATCAGTGAGGTGTAAAACGTCGAGATTTGTAAAAATCTCGATTTTTTTTGCACGATTACAAGACTTTCTCTATACTTCGTATTTACGAGAAAGTAAAAAAGAATGGTTTCTTTTAATAATGATTAGAAACATTTCTGGTGTATAATCTATATACTACTAAAAGTCAAGTTTGTTTACATGTTTCAATATTTATTTTTTTGTTTGTTTTTTTGTTTGGCTGATTGACTATTGCACATGGTTGCACTCATCGTGGAGAGCTGTACAATAGTATGTAGGTTGAGAATTTTTTTTGTTTTAAGTCAGACTGTTAATCACACCTTTATTTGAAGACGTTAATTAATTTATTGATTTATTCATAGGTAGAGTAACCCTATTTTTTTAAAAAGATCAGAACGACCACTACACTCGGCGGGACCGTGACGTCACAGTTTTTTGTTTACTCTTTAGTACAATAAAATGGCGGCGTCTATCGAAGAAAATTATGTTCCCATTCAAAAGTTTAACGCTTTCTAAATCTAATTTTCTGTCGGTCATAACTTTAACAATACGTCCGTTTGCTGTATTTATTACGTTCCAACACTTATATCAATTTTCAACTGTCTTTTTCATTTAGTTTTACGATAATTCTCTAGATCTACAATCTGTCCAAGAAAGTTATTTATAGATCTAGATCTAGAATTTAGAATCTAGGTCAAATCAAAGATTTATTAGTTATAAATACAATCCAAAAAAAAACGAGACTTAAGCAAACCAGTCGTAGATCTAGAATATAGATAATTCTATCTAGATTTAGATAATAATGAGTTTCTATATACTAAACTATTTTAGACCTTTATTATTTTGTATAAATCTTTGTTTCGACTATGCAAATTTTGAAATGCTGATTCCAGGGCCTATTTGCGTAGCTTAAGATTCATACGCGGCTTCGATACCGGTAATTTTGCTAAATTATAAACGTAAATTCTAAATATAGCTCAGTCGTAGATCTAAAATATAGATAATTTTCTATCTAGATTTAGAAAATAATGATTTTCTGTATACTAAACTATTTTAGACCTTTATTATTTTATATAAATCTTGGTTTGGAATATGGTAATTTTGAAATGCTCGCTCCGGGCCTATTCGCGTAGCTAATGATTAGATCTAGATCTAGATTCTAGATCTAGCAAGAAAAACTAAACTTAAGACTTAAGCAAACGAGACCTTCTTTATTTTATATAAATCTTTGTTTGGCTAATTTAAGATAAAATTTAATTCGAAAGTTACTACTACTAGACTTAGATCTAGATCTATGAGCGTAAATCAAGTTGCAAAAGGAGACTTAAAATATAGTATAAAAATTCACTTGTGACGGCACGAGTAAATAGCTAAGTTGGTAGTGTAGTCGACACTCATGCGGGTGGCACAGGTTCAAGACCAATTTGTCAATGATATTTTTTTTTTCATTTTTTTTTAATGTGAATGATAAAGTTGCCTATCTGAACTTGGCAGGATACAGGGCAGGTGAAGTGGAGTTCCATCTGTTTCTTTGTCCTAAGCATATGAAAGGATAGTGTGATCAGAGACATGCTCGGCTGGAATCGTTTTTTAAACGATAAAAACATGTTGTCTGAGACTTGGCGGGACACTGGGCAGGTGAAGTAGAGTTGAGTAGGTCACCTGTGACGTCAGTATAGGAAGGGATAGTCCGAAATCGGTGTTTTCGTTGTTTTTAAAAGATAAAAAACATATTTTTGAATGTGGGGTCTGTTTTTTGTGACGATAAGTGACACTGCAGTAGCGTAGCGAGGAGGGGGGGGGGGTGGGGGGGGGGACATATGTCCCCGGGCGCCGACCTTAGGGGGCGCCAAAATGGGCTGGAAAAATAAATTGAAAGGTTGAGGGGGGTGCAAATCGAAAGTTTGGGTGGGGGGGGTTCAAATCAAAATCTTGAGGGGGGGGGGTGCACATCAAAAGTTTGGGGGGGGGGGGTTGCAAATCAAAATCTTGCGGGGTGGGGGGTTCAAATTGAAAAGTTTGTCCCCGGGTGCCGGGAAGGGTCGCCATGCCTCTGAGTGACAGACGTGATGTTTTTTGATGGATTACCCACGAAACCCACAGTTATCCAACGGATGACGGGTAGTCTAGTCTAAAGTTAAAACTAGAATATTTTTAAAACAGAGTTGTAGAGCGTCGAACTTACAAAGGTTTGAACCGTGTTGGGCATGTCGTGTCTGAGTCTGGAGACCGTGTCGACAAAGTCCACGGCTTGGTTCAGCTTGGCTTGACGGATCAAATCGTGTAGTGCTATAAACACGGAGCTTCTCGTTGTATCCGTCCTGTTAGGTACACACGGGAAATAATGTGTCAAATGTGGTGCCTATATACAATGGCAGAAGTAGTTGATAAAGTACAGACTCGCTTCTGTTATCTCTGTATTAAATGCTATATTTGTCTAAAATAGTTTATAGAATGTATGTGTACTATAAATACTAAATCGAGAAAATGTATATCAAATATAACCACCATATTAACTACTTTACTAACAAAATAAATCGGGAGTGATATCCCCTAAACTTTCTGAAATATTCTTATCTATATATATAATTCTCTTCAGGGAGCCGTTAGAAAACAAGCTGCAAGCGCGCCTTACAGTCCCCTCTCTTCCTCTCTATCGCTACCACCCCCACCCCCTCACATGGTCTGGTGAGCTGTGGTTCACGCTGTTTACATTTTACAATCATAGAGACGGGTTTGGTGACGGCTATTAGGGGCAGATAATTTAGGTTGAAACGATTTTAAACTTAGAGGAGGTAACTAAGAGGAGGCTGCTTTCACGTGGGGGGTGGGGAATGGGGGTTTAGTGTTTTTAAGCAAATATTTTCAGTGGCAGCATTGGTACTGTCGAATTCACAAATTATAAATTACTGAAAAGTAGAAAAAAAAACAACTAAATAGCGGCGTATGATACGCAGCGGGTCGGCTCGTACAAAATAACAGGGGACGGGAACTCGGGCTATAGACATGATTTTTAATCCATTTTAAATACTTAACGTTTTAAAAATAGAATAAAATCTCGTAGACAAATTAATTGCACACAAAGTAAACGCCAAATAAAAAAAGCGCATAATAGTGCACAATATTATTAGTACTTTTAAAATTTACATTAGTTTTTTGAGAAATCTGAAGAAGCGTTAATTACTACTTCCTGTCAACGGAAATTACTCAAAATTTTACAGAAGGTAGAGAATTAGATCTTTTACTTACATGTGAAATTTCATTTATCTATCTGAAATAGTACTCAAGTTATAGGGTTTTGAAAAATTCAAAGTAGGAAAAGTACCACTTCCGGTTATCGGAAATCGCTCAAAAGTTGATACGGATCTACGATTTTGATAAAATACTTACATTTGAAATTTCATCAACCTAGCTGTAACGGTACTCAAGTGATCGTGTTTACATACGGACACACAGACAGACAGACACACAGACATACGGACAAGATTGCAAAATTATGTTTTTCCGTATCATTGAGGTGTAAACCGTCGAGATTTGAAAAAATCTCGATTTTTTTTGCACGACTATAAGACTTTCTATATACTTCGTAAATAAGAGAAAGTAAAAATGTATTATTTAAATGATATATATATATATATATATATATATATATATATATATATATATATATATATATATATATATATATATATATATATATATATATATATATTTTTTTTTTTTTTTTATTTATATATATATATAGTCACAGTTAATACATGTTGTAAAATATGTCGTTTTTGTGTCTTTCAAAGCTTACCCAGAATGCACCAGTGTGATAGTTTCTAGTGTGTTTATGAAGACCTTGTGTTCAAAGTCAACCAAACTCCACATACACGGGTCAGACCCGTCTTCCGGCCAAGCCGTGTACTGGAAGTGGGTCACACGACGTGGTGGGTTGTCGTCCTTATCATTGGGGAAGAAAGAAACAAGCATTATATTTATAGATGGCAGAAAATTCGATTAAACCTAACACATCCTATGCTAATGTGAGTTTTTGTAATATCCTTTCCTTAATTTCGATATGGTGTGTAATTATAATTGCTTTGTTTTTGTATGACTTTGTTGTAGTACTTATAATTATGTTGCTGTTATTAGTTTACGTTTATCTCGTGTATGCTTGTTATCACCATGTAAATTTATATGAGACAACGTGGTCGGTCGTCTCAAGTTCGGATCCCGGGTTCGAATCTGTGTCACGCCCCATAGCCCACTAAGCTTTGATAGGTTCGTCACTTACATTAGGGAGAGCAAATTCAGCTGGTCATGTCACTGACCACGCTATCTTCATATACGCCTACCTTGGGTCATGGAAATGGGTAAGCTCTACTTTATCCGAACTAGTGACTGTCAGATACATAACAGCATGCAATTTTACATTTAATACAATTTTAAAGTTTAAACAAAAATAAATATCGTTATTTTTTTCTTCAAAGGCTTAGCAAAATATCTATCTATATCTTACTTTGTCAATGCGCACAGACGTAATATTTGTTATTTCTACTATTTTAGTTCTATTTTAGAGCGGGACTACACTCTCGACCTTTGAAATAATAGTTTAAATTTTATACCGTTTTAAAAAAGAATAAACTTTTGAAATAAAATACAATTTACTTTTGTGATTTCCAAAGTCCGAATAGTATAATCTAGAAAAACTTCTGTTTTCACCGTCTTCACTCTATAGCAATCAATATTTTGATCTTTCATTGACCAATAGCTGTATTCATTCTAAAAAAATGATTTTTTGATAAAGTATTTTCACCTTAGAAATATTCAAGTTATCGAACAAAAAATATAAACAAAACCGCTGTCATTTTCCATACCAATCTTACATGTTTCAAAACACATTTTACATTGGGAAAAATCAGAATTATTATCTATTTAATTGGATAATGGAGCAGTACTCTGATGTTTGTGTGTTTTTGCATCTCTGTGCTAATCATGACGACTTTTACAACTTGTTTGTCCCATAGCAGATTGAGAAAGCCGACCACAGTCGCAGCTACCGGACCTACGAGAAGATGTGAAAAAATGAATGAATGTTATTTACCTAAGCAAATATTCGTAATAACAAATTTTGCTACTGACTATAGTAATATTTAAAGTAATTTTTAACTATGTAATGTCTAATTAGATTGGCAATTAGAAACTGTTACGTTGTTATTGTAATAAATTTTACTTACTCAAGCATAGATTGAAAACAAGTTAAATAGTTTTTATTTCACGAAGACCTTCAAAAGCAAGTTAAATTACTTTCATTGCCTTAGGCTTAGGCTTCTTTCAATGATAAAAATGTGTATACGTATACAAAGTTAGTAATCCAAGCTAGACTCAACATTAACACATTTTACTAGAGAATATATGAAAACGTTAACAAATTACCTTGTGATACTATTATTTCTTCTTTAGCCAACTTAAAGAAATAGAATAATTCAACATGGTTAGTCAAAACAAGAAATATTCATTTTTTTTTTATATTCATGTTTCAACCCAAAATCTAGTTTATTAATATGTGCAAAGTAACAAATTGAGTATTATTGATGTATAAACGTATTATAATATGAATGTGCAAAATATGTATTAGCCGAAGTGAATAAGATAAAAACAGTATTTTTCATGTATAGGAAGAGAGAGTTAAGTTATAGATTTTACATTGTGTTGCCGGTATGAATTAGCGTCTTGTTGTAACAATTATTGAAAACCAAGTTATAAACATCTTGAGATATTTAAAGAACATGCACAATAAAATTTACTTTACAAATTTTAGCTGCGCCATTTTTAAATAAAGAAAAAAAGTCATTACATACAAAAATATGGATAATCGTACTGATTTTAAAATTATATGACAGCAATTAAAAATACTAAAAAAATAAATCACTTTTATTTTGTGTAGTCAAAACATGTTTTGCTGAAAAATTATCTAAACAAGTACATTTTCGATTAATCTCTTTTTAGTACTTTAAAAGCCTTATTTCACAAAAGTATTTACCTCATTTTTTTTTTACTTTTTAACAATTAAAAATTAAATTGCAAAGATAAATGTAACTTGAAACTGTTTAAATGAATACCTTTATTTATTTTTATATATCATGTATTTATTAGAGGTTTTAGTTTAAGATCAGATAATTAGCGAGCGCTCTTAACTCTAGACGACACACCTGTCTCATTAACGTCGGTCACTAAGTCTCAGGTGTGTAAACTCACGATTACAACACACCAGTCTCCCCTCCCCCCCCCCCCCCCTCTCCCAAGTGGTTATAGCTAACTTCGCTACCGACTCTAGAAAAATTTAAAATATATTTAAAATAATTAATGATGTAATATCTAATTAGATTTGAAATTATATACTCTTGCATTGTCATTGGAAATAAAAATTTCTGTAAAGATTGAGTTACTCGATTCAACAAGAACCCCACCAGAGACGGAAGATTTAACTAAAGTAAAAACAAAACAATACATATTAAACATCCGCGCCTCACCGCCAGAAATGAGAGGCTGAGCAAATTGACAGGCTTTTTCTCGGGCCACGGTGTGACGTGGATGCATGCATGGTCATCTGGGGATGTAGCCCAATGGTCATTTATGGTGTAAAAGGTGTTCAAATAGATATGAACAAATGTATGTATAATGGGGATGTTAGTTCTTGATTGTTAATGTTTTAAACGTATTTTAAAATAATAATTTGAAATTAAGAAAAATAAAATAATTAAATTAATAGGACAGTGAACATTGGTCTGATGGCAAACATTCCGTCACGTTATTCTAGAACTATTTGTCACTTTTGTCAAACCCTTCTATACTTATGTTACGCACTATAATACTTATATATTCCCTGATTTACTCGTTACGCGTATACAATATTTTGTTATAATTATCTATTATTTTAAGAAAAAAAATTAATTCAGACACTAATTCAGTAAATCAAGGGTTAATATCTCACTTAGACTTAAGTTACGGCCTCCAACATTCACATGATAACTTCATGCTTTACCCACTAACACACATAAACTTATTTTCTCACACACATTTCATTCATAATACAGTGACGATGTAATAAGAAACCAACGACTTACAGGTACCAGCCGTGTACTTTTTCTCAACTTTTTCTCAACTTTTTCACCATCATACACAGTTGGTATAGACTGTGGAATATAAATACTGTTATAATATAAATCAATACAGAAAAAATAGCTGTCTTTAAGAATTTTAAAAATATACTTGAAGTCAACACACGATAAAATTTCAAAGGAACGAAAAATGAAAAAAATTATTCAAACTTTTTAGTGACTACCTTGAACTGGTTGAGAAAGAATTCCTTGTTGTGTCCCAGTATGTAGACCTTTAGATTCGCGATGGGTACTGACGTATCTGTTTTGGTGGTTTCATTCGGAAATAAACAAAACATACAATACTAATACACGACATTAATGCATATATAGGTGACGGAAGTTTATCCAAAGGTAGTTTTCTAGAAATAAAGACAAAACCCAAATAGAACACATGCACACGCACACATACACACACACATATATATATATATATATATATATATATATATATATATATATATATATATATATATATATATACTTATGTATATGCCTATATATGTGCTTAAACAAATGCTTATGTATGCTTATAGGTGAGCCGTTGCTCGTGCGTGTGAGTGTATGTGTGTGTGTGTTTGTGTGTGTGTGTGTTTGTGGTTATGTGTGTGTGTTTATGTGTGTGGGGAGGGGATGTATGCTTTAAAACAATAAAAAGCAGCCAGGTATACAATACAATAAGAATGAGATTGGTAGAATCAAGAGACAGAATAAAATGAAACAGAATAGAATTTACCTGGGACAGCCTCAGTTTTAACTGTTTTCATTTTTCTAGACAAATGGAGGAAATGTCTTTAAGAATATATTGATAAGGAAATCTATATATATTTTTTTTCTTCTTTTGCTTCGTTCTTAATTCTATTAAATATTTCGTGTCAACTTGTCCTGCGCTATTTAGGCCGATGACCCTGGATTTTTTTTTTTTTTTGTGGTTTTCTTTTTGGTTGATTCTATAGCTTTTGTCCAACCAAGAACAAACTTTAAGGCAGCAGTTGTTTGATTTTGTAGGTGCCTATCCCAGATGAGTAGCAGTACCCAGGGGTAGTCCATAAATGACGTCACACTCGTATGTGGGAGGGTGGGTCCGTAATTTTGTGACGGCTTGTGATGAGGGGAGGGGGGGGGGGGTCAGATGGTGTGACGTCACACTTTTACTTTATAAGAAAAGCAATGTTAGAAAACGAATTTTAGACGTTATTTCGAGTTTTAAAAAACTGTTTTAATTTATTGTAATAGGAATTGATTAAAATACTCTTTTTTGACAGAGTTCAGACAAGATTTTAGAAAAATATCGATGTTTAAAAAAAATGCAACTGCAATTTTGATTGGGGTTGTGTGACGTCATTTTAGGGGGGTCTGGCATTATATGACGACGTGTGACGGAGGGAAGGGGGAGGGAGGTAAAAATCGTCAAAAAAGTCTGACGTCATTTATGTATGACCCCCCCCCCCCACCAGCTGTTAAGCCTCGTCTGTCCGGGTTTCAAACTCGAGACCTCTCGAATATTTTCTCTTATTTAGTCTGTTCACAATAGCAAATGTATTGAAATAGAACAAGTAATTGACACGTTAAATCAGTACTCTACAGAGCGCTACGAACCTGCGTATGAATATAAAGATGACCAGGATTGCAATAAGTAATGCGGGCAGCACAATCAGTAAATACAGTATATATGTATCATCCTTGTTTTCTGTAAATTATTTACATTGTGTCATGTATTAAACATGGTGTATATACATTCTTGAACCATACAGGAATGTATATACAAATGTATATGGAAACACAATACATGAATAAAAAATTAAGTAACAAATACACGAGTGAACATAACATACTCATATAAAAATACAATCGGGTCCAATATAGTGATGTTAGTTATGTAAGCAGAGTTTCTTTCAGGCATCTATTACTGGGGAGACTGAAGAAAGTCTACTGCCCATCCCCCACCCCACCCCCAAATCGAAATGAAATTGATATAGAAAATGTATGCTTTAACCCCGGAACATTAGTCCGCCCCACCCCCTTCCGAAAATTTCAAGTACGCCGCCCCCGATGAAAAAAGTTCGATTGAAAGAAACACTACGTACACGGTATTGTCTCTACACCTGTAAAATGAAGACCCGTTAAAACTACAACTAATTTCATTTATTGGAATATGTATTAAATTAAGATTTAAATTTTTCAAAAACTATGTTAGAAAACCAATCGATTCCTTGTTCTGAATGTTCAAACTTGCTCTTGGCAAGCGTGTCTCGACCACACACTCACCCTGGGCATTTGGGTCAGCTAGAATCTCGCTTCTTAAAACACTATCTCCGTAGATGGCGTCACACAGGCGTTTGATCTCAGTAGACTCGGGCACACAATTAGGGTCGCATTGTTGTTTGCAGTTGGGCCCAAAAATTGTGTCGATACACTCTGTCGAAGTTTAAGGGTTAACTTGGTTCTAGTTAAAGGGTTAAAGTGGTTCTAAAAGGGTTGTAAACATTTCAGTTACAACGCCTGCTTCCATCCTTTACCATGTTTACACTATACCCATTTAAGGAAGCTACTATTTGTCTGTATCGTCGTCCCTGTATTTGTGTCGCCTGTGTGGTCGAATAATGGTCCTTGTTGTGTGTATGAGGCTAACGGTCAGTCCCATTCGGGGTTCAAAGGTCACGCCAGCCCGCGTCTTCCGTGAAAAAGTTGTTGATAGTGCTCGGCCATGAAAGCTTTATTTTTGTAAAGCTGATTGGCTGAATCGCTTACACGTCTGACTTGATGCATGGAGGGCGAGGCGATTCGGTGCCGCGTGGAATGGTAGGTTTCGGATCCCGTCTGGGTTCTGACTGTTCTGTCTTTACTTGGACTATATTCTGTACCTTTGTCTACCCTTGGCGTTGAAATATCACTTTCTGTTTACATTGCTTTTTCAGTTACAACGCCTGCTTCCACCCTTTACCATGTTTACTTCTAAAAGGGTTAAATTTTCCCTATATAAACATTAATCATTTTTTGAAAAACGATGACTGTTTTTAAAACAATGTTATGGAACTTTGGCTCTCTATATCTGGCTCATTTTTTTCCAAAACTTGGATAAATGAATCGGCTTTATATATATATATATATATATATATATATATATATATATATATATATATATATATATATATATATATATATGTATATATATATATATATATATATATATATATATATATATATATATATATATATATATATATATATATATATATATATATATATATATATATATATATATATATATATATATATATATATATATATATATATATATATATATATATTTACTACCGCATTGATTATTATAGGTTAAGGTTCATAAATAAAAGAGAAAAATGTTAAGATTATTGGTATTATTTATTATTATTTTCTAATTAGTCTATGATTTCTTAAAATCACTATTTTTTTGCTTTTGTTTTTCGGTGTTATGAAAACAGATGGTGAGATTTCACTTTTGTATACTCTCAAATAAAACTTAAATAGCCAACTTTTATATAAAAACTAGTTTATTTAACCACACTCAAAGTATGAATTCTATTAAAATAGAAACTGTAGCCTATATAGGGCCTACTGTGTAAATGCTTTAGTTGCAATAAATTAATTTAAATACTAAAATCTCTACATATTTTCTTCTGGGGTAAGATCTAAAAAAAATCTTCTTTAGCTCATTCTTTATTTTGCCCTAAATATGTGTCACTGAGATCTCTATAGATAGGCTTACCTGGAGCATGAATAACTAAACAAAGGAAGAATAAAAACTAAAGTTAACAAGTAAATTAAAATTAAACCAAAACCAATAATCTTTTTTTTTTTTAAATTTGAGGGATGGAAAAGAAATTTCCATTTTAAAAATAGTTAACATCTATCACTAGATGAGACACACTTGAAGCACCAGAGACAAAACCTATACATTCAAACAGCTAAATCGGCTAAATGATAGACGCGGGAGTTTGTGATCGATCAAACGACTACATTTTAAAATGAAAAGCTAAAATGAAAAACAAAGACACAAAAAATTGTAATTTAAAAACTCTATAGTAAAATCAGTATAAAGACTCCGAGCATATGTTAAAAGGAAAACAGTTTCTGTGATTCTCTATAGTAATACAGTCTTTGGCTTTTTATCTCGCCTGTAGATATTACATTTTCAGAGATAGTTTACGCCATCGAATCGCTGTAAATGTTTGTCGACTATTCCAATTTCTGTAATTGTTTGTGTCATGTTATTACTTATATACGGATGTAGCTTAAGGCTAGCTATACGCTATGATGTAATTGTATGAAGCTTGAGGGTGCCTACATAACAAATGCATCACTTGTATAAAATACACAAAAAATAATTTACCCTGCTCACAGTAGTCTCCCCGCCATCCAGGGGGACAACTCATACACCGGCCTGTGATCCTGTCACAGGTCTGATTCTCACATTTGACGCTGCAGTAGAAGGCACATTCCTTACCGTAGGTTCCTTTTTCGCAGTCTATAAGTAGATTTCAACAATCTTGAAATTGAGTATGTTTAAACACATTTTGAGAAAGTCAAAAAAATATGTTTATCAAATTTCGAAACAGTTCTTAAGTCTTTTTATACATACTCAAGGCAATTTACATACCAAATGCTTTACTTGTAGAAAATACACACACACATATCTAATATATATATATATATATATATATATATATATATATATATATATATATATATATATATATATATATATATATATATATATATATATATATATATAAATACATATACATATATATATATATACATATTTATATATATATATATATATATATATATGTATATATATATATATATATAAATATATATATATATATATATATATATATATATATATATATATATATATATATATATATTTATTTATTGATATATATATATATATATATATATATATATATATATATATATATATATATATATATATATATATATATATATATATATATATATATATATATATAAATAAATATATATATATATATATATATATATATATACGCAACGGCTAATATCAGAGCTACATTGTTTTAAAAAATTCTTAACTTGTGTTTCAAATATCCTCAAACTTTAGAAATAGATTCATCAATAAAAAAAAGTTTTACCCTGCTCACAGTAGTCTCCCCGCCATCCAGGGGCACAACTCAAACACCGGCCTGTGGTGCTGTCACAGGTCTGGTTCTCACATTTGAAGCTGCAGTTCAAGTCACATTCCTGGCCGTAGGTTCCATGTTCGCAGTCTATAAATAGGTTGAGACAGTCTAAAAGTATGTCTAAAAGATCAATCAGAAATTGTTACCTCCGCTTCGTTTCAAATCGGTTAATTCCAAATTATCTGCCCCTAACCCGACTATACGATTGTAAACATTCGGGGTGAACCACAGCTCACCTGACAGGTTGGGATGAGGGTGGTGGCTAAGCTGCGTGGTGATTATAGTCTCAGTGAAGAGAATTATATATATAGATATTTTCCATACCAATAGTACTGTCTGTTTTTTATTGTTTACCTTCTATTTAATAGTACTAGCGTGCTCTTCGGGATATAAGAAAATCTGATGATATATGTAAGAAGCGTTCTATCAATGCGTTATCAATCATGTATTATTAGACGTGTGAGCTTTTTGTTTCTAATACTGAGTTTAAATTTAAATGTTAACAGTGCCTGCGCCTATATTATATATATATATATATATATATATATATATATATATATATATATATATATATATATATATATATATATATATAAATATATCGGGGCACTTGTTTACCTACCGCATGAAAGCATAGTGAGGTAGAACACACTTTGGTGATCGCTCAGGTTACACTATCTCAGGGGCGCCGCGTACGGTCACTGGCTGTTTAAATTAACTTAAGCGCCCTAATGCTCACAAGATAACCCAGAGAGCATAATAGCTTATTAAAATATCGCTCACGGGATACCATTGGGCATCAAATTGCGCCCTGCAGGGGCAAGTGCAAACTCGACTGGTTAAATTTATTAAACGACTTTAAAGCCCTAACGTATCCATATCCGATCGTGCTGTTCTGTTGAAAAACAACGTACGCGCCATAGTGCTCACGGGTAATCTTGGGCACCATATCACCCCCCTGCGAGGACGCACCTGATTCGATAAAGTCAACGATTATTGTTATTGATAAAGACACAATGTCCTTTTTTACTTTCTCGTATATACGTAGTATAGAGAAAGTATTGTAATCGTGCAAAAAAAAAAAAATCGAGATTTTTACAAATCTCGACGTTTTACACCTCACTGATACGGAAAAACATAATTTTGCAATCTTGTCCGTATGTCTGTGTGTGTGTGTGTCTGTGTGTCTGTCCGTGTGTAAACACGATAACTTGAGTACCGTTACAGCTAGGTTGATAAAATTTCATATATAAGTATTTTATCAAAATCGTAGATCCGTATCAACTTTTGAGCGATTTCCGATAACCGGAAGTGGTACTTTTCCTACTTTGAATTTTTCAAAAGCCTATAACTTGAGTACTATTTCAGATAGATAAATGAAATTTCACATGTAAGTAAAAGATCTAATTCTCTACCTTCTGTTAAATTTTGAGTAATTTCCGTTGACTGGAAGTAGTAATTTACGCTACTTCCGATTTCTCAAAAAACTAATGTAAATTTTTAAAGTACTAATAATATTGCGCACTATTATACGCGTTTTTATTCGGCGTTTGCTTGGTGCGCAATGTTTTTTTTATGAGATTCTATTCTATTTTTAAAAGTTTAAGTATTTAAAATGGATTAAAAATCATAACTATATCCCCAGTTACCATCCCCTGTTGTTTTATAAGAATATTCGAGAAAGTTTAGGGGAGATCACTACCGGTTTATTAAACGAACGTAGGTCCTCAGTTCTCACAATAGGGTTGAAGTTTTAACGCTGAATATAGTAGTCTTCCTACCCGCTATGATAACGGACATCAAGTGCTAAGATAGCCGATTAAGAACTCTGGGCGCCAAACCGTGTGGTGACAAAAGACCCTTCCTTTTTCACAGAAAACGTCTCGAGAGTATTCTCATCAAGTATCCAAAGTTTCATGGCATTCGGATGAACGGTGTCAAACCGCATCCTATTTGTATTTTTAATACTGTATATAGAGAAAAATCGCACCCTTGCGAAATTAAAAACGTTTTTTTTAAAGGGATCCTCACCTTTAGTGTTTTCATCTACTCCCCAAAGTTTCAAGGCGGTTGGATGATTGATGTCAAACCGCAAACGACTTTAATTTTATATACCATGTTTATAGAATAATCGAATATCGCACTGCCGGGGTCACCCCTGCGACGTTTTGAATTTTATTCTCACAAACAACTCCCCAGGAATATTATAAACAACTTCCGAAAGTTTCATAAAATAAAAGGTGTAGTAATGTATAAAAGACACACACACACACACACACACACACACACACACAGATACACATACATTGCTGTATAGATAGATAAAGAGATTGCTATTTCTGGTTTTACAATTGAACCCACGGATCAAAATGTGTGGACCCTATACGTTACCGTTGTAGCAAAACGCTCGTGATGAGAAGCACTCGACGCATGAGCTCTCGACATTGTTACAGGCCTCGGGTTGGCACTCACGCTGGAACTTAGAGGCACATCCTTGGTCGAAATAGGGATTGATGCATACTAAAAACATGTACAACGTATCATTAGTAATATCAGAGTTATCGAAATTCAGTATATATATATATATATATATATATATATATATATATATATATATATATATATATATATATATATATATATATATATATATATATATATATATATATATATATATATATATATATATATATATATATATATATGTATATATGTGTGTGTACTTGCGTTCCCGTCCACGCGCGTTGGCGTGGGGATACAAGAAAGTCTGACGAAAAATGTAAGAGGTGTGTGTTTTATCAATGTGTTACCAATCCTAAATTCTTAGAATCGTGACTTTGTTTTCTAAAACTGAATTATTTAAATGTAAACGATGCATGCGTTTGGATCATAAATATTGGGACGCGTGTTTACCCACACCAATGCATGAAAATATAGTATATATATATATATATATATATATATATATATATATATATATATATATATATATATATATATATATATATATATACATATATATATACATATATATATATATATATATATATATATATATATATATATATATATATATATATATATATATATACATATATATATATATGTATATATATATATATATATATATATATATATATATATATATATATACTAGGCATACTGCCTAGCATCGCTTAGGTTTTCAAAAAGTTGAGAAATCGAATGATTAATTAATAGGTGATTGGCTGTTATGTTAAAAGCTTAGGGCCTAAATTTATTCAGTGTGGTACTTTTACAGAACAAATAAATTGATGGAATATTCGCAAACATATTACTCGCAAGGTTATTAGAACTGAAAGGGCTTTCATAAAAATTATCAATCAAATATTTTATTAAATTACTTTTGCAATTAATTTTACAATTTCAATCCAATACAAAACTTAATTTATAACAAAATATTCGTTTAAAACAATGCTGCACTTTATGATTTTTGTTTTTTCTTAAAAAGAGTATACAAAATAATACAAATTGTTACATTAAAAAGTTACCTCCCCTGTTCATAAACAAAATGACCAAATCTCGTGTAATGTCGCATTTTTTTTCGTAATAGAGCTCATATAAAGAGAATTTCACTCGCGGTCACTTTTTAGCCCTCGTCGAGGGCTTTGAGTCAAACCGACAGTTTTCTCTAGAGGTCAAGCCATTTACCTAAGAGTATGCAAAAAATTAGCCAGATATACTGAGTTTAAGTACCCTAAAATCCGCGTTGAAATGACCCTCTGTGTTTCCCATAAAATACAAAGATTATATAGGGAAATACAACTGGTCAGTTTTGACCCCTTTACGAAGTTTTCCCAGATATGCCGAGTTTTTTTGTGACACCCCAAGGCGTTCTCCTAGCACCTCACAAAATTTCAAGGGGGGTCGTCGGAGGAAAATGTTTTTCGTAATAGAGCCCATATAAGGCGCCGGTCAGTCGAGGTCAGTTTTGACCCCCTCTCCGTAGTTTTTTCGGCAAACCTTCACCGGCCCTCGTGTTCTATCGCCCTATATATATATATATATATATATATATATACATTACAGTATCTAAGGTTAGACCACTTAGCCCCTACAAAAACCTCAATAAAATTGCTAATCTACTTCTTAAGTAACAACAACAACCGATGTTCTTAGATCTCAACCCATTTGTGTAGCATGTTATGTAATTTATGTCCATCTCTGTTAAGCAGGGAAGTTATCAGACACATACAATTGCTACCCCCTCAAAAATTTTTACCTACATGATACCAAGCCCTCACCATAAAACTCCAACTCTTTGTAGGTAACATAGATTGCTGCTCTTAGATCTCAGCCGACAAGAGATTGCATCTCTAATGTAATTTATTACCCTAAAGGCGCAGCACGGAAACAAAGGTGAAATCAGTATGACTAATCATCTTCTAAATTTAACTAACCTCAATCCAGTATCAGATACATATTATTAGACACATATTAGGTAGGACTAATTAATTTATTAAATCCTTTTAAAACAAAAATAGTAACAACTTTTAAAATTAAATTCAAGGAGCGGATTCTAGGTTTAAGTCTCGTCGCACAATCTATTTCAATTTCAGATAATTTTGTTTGCTAACTAAAATGATTAGAATCTACAGCTAGATTCTAGATATGTGCGACAATTATATTTTTTTTTATTATTAGATCTATTTGTTTTTATTAATTATTGAATTATTTTGAATCGAATATAGATCTAAATGTTTTCAATTAAATTTAATTTATCTTGTAGTTTAATTTAATTAAATAAGTAGATTTTAGATTCTGTGTCTACCTAGCGTAGCCAGTTTCGTGGACAACATGATTAGATTTTGAGCTAGATTTTATATCTTAATATTAAATAAATATTCCAATTAAATGTTATTATATTTTTTGACGTAGGTGAATGTCAAGCGTATTTGTTTTATTAACAGAAGTCTTGTGTTAATTAAAATGAAGTTTATTGTTTACTGTCCCTAACAAAAGCAAAGTGACGAGAACCTATTCGCATTTGATTTGCCGCTGCTTCACTCACGCCACTTTGATAAATATTGGCTAACAATTGACAGCGT